GATCTTAACAACCCTTAAACTACTTTTAATCAAATGGTTTTCGGTGTGACACCGATACACAAGTAGCTTTCAATTACACTTTAGCACTCCCAATAGGAAGTAGCTCTTTATTGGGAGCGGTGACTTATGATCGTGCGGGATTACGGGTTTGGTCTTCGCATTTCAGATATTCAAAGCCTGGTGGAAACAAAAACTGCTCAGCGCATATTCCAAAGTTGAGCTAAGCCTTGTGCATGGGGAAGCATTTCTGAAGAAGTCAAGTGTTTGAAATAAAACCGTGTAGTCATCTAGTAGAACAGAGACATGAAATTGTTATTTATCAAGATGAAACTAGCATTTGGATACAATTTTCTGGCGCTGTTAATAACTTCTGTTGACGAGGGAGTCACAACAGCAGAAATGAGGTAGACGTCCCCCTGAGCTCGGAGAAGCGGGATTTTTCATGGGCTGTGAGCAAGGAGAAGCATGTGTCTTCGGTAATAACTTTCTGAGCGGCTCCATCAGAACAGCTACCATGAATTTATCTTGTTCTGTTCTCTCCAAAAGCTTTGTCAGCTTTGAATAATCTGCTGTGGCTACAGACTGCCAGGGTGCCACATGGCCACGTGCATCTCCAACATGAAGTCCAACTCCCCGAGCAGTTTTGTCATAATGATGAAGTTTCTTAACTTAAATCGAGGATGTCTCTGGAGTTCCCGATGCCAATGTGAACTTAAGATAAACAGTGAATGATGAATAGGCAAATTACTGAAACCTCCCTTCAGCTGAGGCCACATGTGGCTAGTTGATCAGAGGAGGTATGTGTCCTCTCATCTGGCAAATGCTAGAGAAAATGGGATGGTCTGAAGCGGAGACGGTTCTATGTAATCAGCCACAGACTAATGAGCAATTTCCTTTTATATGTGATTTTTCCCTTTTTCTCTTTGCTGTCCGGGATGTTGGAAGTGGGGAGGGAGCCAGCAGCCTGACCAACATGCATGCAAATGCTTTGCTCTGAGGTAAGTCGCTGCCCTCAGCCCCCACAGCGGTCCCAGTCCAAGACACAACAGCAGCAGGAGCCAGCTAAAGGCTGTGCGATGGTGCTCTGCGTGTCTCCCGAAGGCAAGGAAGCCTTTCCTGAGACACCCACCCAAACCGGGGGAAGAGACCATCTGTAAATCTACCAGCAGCATGCTTAAAGCCTCGTGTGTGCGACAGCCAAGGGAGGCAGACACCTTGGACCATGGCTGCAGGACCAGGGGACAGACACCTTGGACTGCAGCTGAGGACCAGGGGACAGACGCCTTGGACTGCAGCTGAGGACCAGGGGACAGACACCTTTGACCGTGGCTGCAGGACCAGGGGACAGACACCTTGGACTGCAGCTGAGGACCAGGGGACAGACACCTTTGACTGTGGCTGCAGGACCAGGGGACAGACACCTTGGACTGCAGCTGAGGACCCGGGGACACACACCTTGGACAGTGGCTGCAGGACAAGGGGACAGACACCTTGGACTGTGGCTGAGGACTGAGGGACAGACACCTTGGACTGTGGCTGCAGCACCCTGAGAAGCTGTAAGCCAGCACTGTGGATGCATTTTGGGACTGGAGCACCTAAAAGAGCAAAGCGAGAGGCATTTCTCCTATAGAGGGACCCCCCAGCAGCACCCAAGAAGATGCAAAGGCTGGGGGGGCTGGGCACAGTGGGGTCCCCCTGGTGCTGTGGCTCCATGTCACTGCCCCCAGCTCCATCCGGGAGCAGGTGCCACCCTGCCACCCTGCAGCAAGAGCCACCAGGCGCCACGTCCCGTGGTAAACGATGTGATTTACTTACTACCTATGGAATTGCCCAATTAATTCACTAGCCACATTAATATTATGGCTCATTTTTAACTTTACTGTCTCCATCGTTCCAATTTAGTGCTGCTCAGAGATGCTGCCACTGACCTTAATGGGTTTTTCATTATAACAAAGAGCACCATATTAATCACGGTGGGTTTTCGGCTGGAGGTTGCTGCCCGAGCCCCGCTGCTTTGGGGAGCTGCCTTTTAGTAGTTCGGGGACCCATTTTATTTCTGCCAGGCTTCTCGCCCCCGCTCACACCGTGTACAAACCTTTCTGTTGCCC